CCCGCACAGGTGCGATATCCCGCCCCTCCCGCACAGGTGCGATATCCCGCCCTGCCCGCACAGGTGCGATATCCCGCCCCTCCCGCACAGGTGCGATATCCCGCCCCTCCCGCACAGGTGCGATATCCCGCCCCTCCCGCACAGGTGCGCTGCCCCACCCGGGAGCGCCCCTTGCCGGCCGGGCCCTGCTTTTCCCCTCCCCGGCTCCCAACCCCGCGGTACCCCCGGTGAGGGCAGGACATTCAGCGTGGTCTTTTTCTTTGGTGTTTTCTCCTGCCATGATGTTTTTCCTGTTATCTTCTTAACGTGAAGAGAGAATGCCCTGAATCACACCAAAATCTTTGGGAAAAACACTTAGGCGCGGATGCCGTGCTACATGGGTTCATCTTCTGTCAGTTCATCTCATGGGTATAAAATACACCCTGAGCTGTCCCTGGTTTCATTTTGTCCGGTTTTGCAATCAGCTTTTATTTCTTTTCCCAAATATTTGCAGATCTACATTGTATACATCACATGTACACATACCCCTATAAGGATACATCTCCAAATATTTTCTCCCTTAAATACAGCTATGGAGTTTCCTACAGAAAAAGAGGAGCAATCACTTGGAAGATGCCCTTCATGTTCTGGGGCTGCAAACCTTGCCTGCTGATTCCTACTTTTGTAATATTTAACATCTTAGTTCCATCAATACATTTTTTTTTCTTTTTAGAACAGCCCATTTTTATTCCCAGAAATATATTTTGTACAAGGATTGCACAATCATCATTTACTCATTGTAGACTCATTTAAAGTTTGTTGCTTTTTTTTTTTTTTCATTCTCAAATACCCCAAATTATGCAAGATTGCACCAAGGATTTTTTTTATGGAGCACTTGGAAACCAAAGCCACATTCCTTTGCTTTTTAGGAAGTTGGTGTGTCCCTGTGCCACCGTTTGGGCTGCCTGTAGGAGATGCTCACCCAGGCCCCAGGAGTGCCACTGCTCTCGAGATGGCAGAGTCATCTCATCACCCATGGCCATGGGCCACATGGCCTCTGTGAGGAATCCCAGGGACAGGTCTTCATCACCCCCATCCACAATCCAGGGCAGACTTCACAGATCTCATCTAATTGTTTGTGTGATTCATTTTCTTCTGTCTTCTCCAAATGCAATCTTCTATCAGTAGAGGTTTGCCCAGCCTCCAGGTGACATCAGGTGTGTGCAGACACAGCCCTGGCCGTGATGGCAGGGCTCTCCTGACAGCAGAGCCAGCTCACAGGGACTGAGGAGGGAGGCAGCCTGTGCAGGTTATGTGTTTGTACTCTCTTACTTGGGGGAATTATTTATTGTTTTCCTGGGTTTGTTTCTTAATTGCTGTAAAACTTACTAGGTGCACTCATAAGTACCTGGGAAACATTTGTCTTCTTTTTCCTCTTCCTTGGATATGTGAAAAATCCACAGGCATGGAATTTTAATTAAAAATTGCATTTATATTGCTTAATTCTTTCTACATAGACTAACTTCATTAAAGCTGGATGCCTTCAAATCATAGTCCCTTCATGGTTATTTTCACTGTGTTGCAGAAAGAGTCTTCAAAACTATTTAATTCTTATTCTGTCCACCTATATGTCAAGGTGTACAAAAATTTGTAACATGTTAATTTGAAGAGTAGAATTACAGCCCTGCTGGTGCAGCTGGGAGCCTTGCCACTGATGCCAATGGGATAGGATCTCATCCAGAGATGCAGTGGAAAGCAGGAATGAAAGTGCACGGCTGGGGCCAGCACTTGGTGGGTATTTTAAAACATCTCTTTGTCAACCACAAGTCAATATTTATCTGATCTGCCTACATAGTTATGTCATTATAATACTTCCCAGGTATTAAAATAGAACTAAGCATTCACAGCCAGCTTCTCCCTAATTCCTCTTCAGGTGCACACTCAGGTTAGTGGGAGTGTGTCTCACTGAGGATGTCAGCACCCAGCTGATGAGAATTCAGGTTTTATTAATCAAACTTACTCTAACCTTAATAGAGAGAAAAAATAAGGGGGAAATTTCTACTTATTGTTAATTTTAATATGCCTTGTGCATATTATGGAATCAACATGAGTAATTACAAGTACTACATGAGCTGTGAGCCTTTTTTTGCTGTGCAAAGTGATGGGATTTGTGGGAGTTATATTCCTAATATGGACTGATTTCTGGGGTGAAGGAAACTTTTCAGGTCCCATTGCATAGAATTATAAAATATCCTGACTTGGAAGGGACTCAGAGGGATCATCAAAGTCCAACTCCTGGCCCAGCACAGGACAGCTCCAAGAGTCACACCATGTGCCTGAGAGCAATGTCCAAAGGCTTCTTGGACTCTGTCAGGCTGGTGCTGTGACCACTCCACTGGGGAGCCTGTTCAGTGCCCAACCACCCCGGGTGAAAGATGCTTTCCCAGTATCTTAGATAGTCTTCCCATGAGGCCTGATGCTGTTCCTTCAGGTCCCATCTCTGAGCACCAGAGAGCAGAGATCAGTGCCTGCCCCTCTGCTTCCCCTGGTGAGGAAGCTGCAGCCTGTGCTGAGACCTCCCCTCACTCTCCTCTTCTCCAGGCTGAATAAGCCAAGTGACCTCAGCTGTTTCACACATGGCTTCTCTGCTGGACCATTTACCATCTTCATAGGTTTAGGTCACAAAGGAAACTCACTGGTGGCTTTTGGACATTTTCTTAGGAAGATGCTGATCAATCTAATCAAACTGCCTCTAACGCCTCCCCTCAAACAATTTTTTAGCTAACTTGCAAATACAAACCACATTCATCACAGGAGCAGAGGTTTCCCCAGACTTGTGCTCCTGTGGTTGTAGGGGGAAATGGCAGTACAGCAGAGACACAACTTGAGCAGCCTGATGACCCCAGGCAGGATAGACACTTATTTCCAGGCAATTCCACCTCTTGTCTGTCCAGTACTGAACAGATACAGACACAGCTGCAGGATACAGCAGCTTGGCTGGGGGGGACCAGGAGAGGGAAGCAGAAATGCTTCCAGGATGGAACAGAGGGTCGTAGGAAGGACCACAGCGCAGGAGTGGGAGGTGTTTGGGCCATGGAGAGGTATCACCCTGAAATTACAGCCTTCTGATTGTATGGAGTATTGTATTTTCCTGTTATTTATTTTTTGATTGTTTATAATGTTACTAGTTTCTTTGATCATTTTTCTTTTTTCTTTTCTTTTTGTTAAACCAAAAAGGGTGAGATGTTGCCCTGAAAACTCAGCTTCTGAGCTTGCTAACATGGTTTTCTAAGGACTTTCCCAGGACAGTAACTGTAAACATAGATATGTGTACATTCTTTCTGTTACACGTCTTGTGATGGGCATCTCTCATGGCCAGTGCAGTGAGAAAGTGTTATCCTGACCATCCAATCCCTGGCCATGGTAAGAAGCCTATAAATCCTGGGAGGAAAAATAAACTTTCTCTTCTTTTCACCACACCTCAACCTGTGTCCGCGTGATCTATTCATCTTCAGCGGTAACAGAGAGGATGGAGGATTTGAGGATAGAAGTAGGGGCAGAGGACTGAAACTATCTAGTAATGTGAAAATGTAAAAATCTGTAGGAACCTTATTTTACCATTTCTACTGCACACAGAATGACTTGTTTACTCTTGCTCAAAGCAAGAGTATGAATCAATCATCTTCTATTCCCTTTATGAAAAAATATTCTAATGCCCTTTTCCTGAGACTTACCCCCATTACTCCTGATGGGCAAGAAAAATACTCAGGATTTGGCTCCTTGAAAGATTTGCTGTAGAAAAAACTCCCCAAATTTAACAATTAAAAAAAAAATCAAGAACTGTCCCACACTTTGTGTGGCCCATAAAGATTTACAGATTAAGAAAGGCAACCTTCTGTAAAACCAGTGGAATCAATGTCTCTGCTAAAGACTAGATGAGTAGGATTCTGAGAGTGTTTAAAAGAAGTTATTTATAAACTGTCCAGTAGCAAAAAAAGCTTTTAAAGCTTTATCTAGTGAAATGGCCTTATCCAGAGCCAAAATATCTCACTAATAGCTGGTCAGTATTTAGCTACATTTTCACAAGGGAAGAAAATCACCCCTGGGCTGAGGAAAAGCATGAAAGATGAGAACACAAAGGGTAACTTCTGAGAAAGCTGAGAATAGTGCCTTGTGCTGAAGGCATTTCCTTAACAACAACGGGTGTCATTGTCATGATGGTGGATAATTTTGCCTTCAGCATCAACAAAGTTAAGAGTGAAGTACAAATTCCAGGGCTGGGGGTGGATGATGATGCTAGGAGAGCACAGCTCAGTTTTCAGATGTCAGCCTGAGTTTGCAGTCCTGACAGCAGACAAGCCTTGTTTTCCCTCATAAGCTGAGGGAATGGAGGAGCAAAATACGAGCACACCTTTTACTGCCACTCTAAGGCAGCAATCAGGTTTCACTGTGGAAGATCACACTCGGAGTAACTTCGGCTGAGATCCCTCTGAGGAGCCTGTGGCTTATTAGTTACAAACACAACTCTCAGAGCTGTAGTTTTCCAAACAAAAAAAAAAAAAACACTGAAGTGACAGGAATAGGAACAAATTGAAGCCCCTGAAAGCTGAAAGTGCTGCAGCAGGGAGAGAGCCATTGAATGATGAGATGTCTGTGGTACCAGGGAGAGGCTTTGGCAGTGTCTCTGATACCTGGAGGGGTGAGGAGACTGGGCAGGGCAGAGCTACAAACATCAGCACACTGTGACCTGGGACCACTGAACTTGGCAGTGAGATGTGGG